CCCTCCCTCCCCCCCCCAATATCCAGAACCCATTAATCAGAAAAGAATGATAAAATCCTTAGTCTTTGGCTTTCAAAGAGACACACCCAGAAGGACTTGCTGCTGCTGTAAAAAATGGTTTTGTTCACGGTGGCTAAATAACAGGCTAACCCTTAAACCTTGTCCTTTTTGTGTTTTGTCACATAAAATCCCAATAAAATACATTAGAATTTTTGGTTATGTGATGAGAGGAAATCCCTGGGTGTCTGCTGTGAAAACTTCTAAGAGGCCCCGTGTCCCACAGCAGCTCTGCTTGCTAACTAACCGCCCTAGTCTCTCTAGACGGAAGCTGTCGGCGTACAGTAGCCACGAGGTCACAGCAGGGCCCCTTTCATGGTCAAGATAAATGAGCGGATGTCAAGCATCATCCAGGCTTAGACTATTAGCTGTACTCACAAAGCATACTGTTGAGAGATTTGTAGCACAGTATGGTCTGTTACTTTATCTCCAAACAGTTCTTCAGAAGTGAAATGTTTGATGAGGTGGAAAATGTCCCATTTCCATTTGTCTTTCCCCGTTTTCAGCCTGAGCATTATTCAGAAAGCTTGTACCCCATTTGATAGCAAATGAGCAACAGAGATGAATTTGAAGGGAGATTTTTATGATAGAAATAGACATTAAGTTCTCTGCTTTTTCTCTTCCTCACATCACAGCTCCTTTTTATAACCAGGTGTGTCAAATAAGGATCCCACATAAAAAGATCTCTTGCTTTAGTTAAACACCCTTGCAGGTTAGATTCACCAGCAATTTGTCTTTTTTCTGACTTGAATCAATAGCAGATGTGTATAAAAAGTGATTGCTGGGGGAAAGCATAGCTACTTCAAAAATGAGCCCAACTCTTCAGGAAGAGCATGAAATCTTAATTAAGCCGGTGTGTCTGCAAATCGGTTCCCCTCGAAGCCACAAAAGGTGGGAGTCGCTTCATTCCTGGCAGCTTTGTCACACGCCAGGCCCCCCTGCCACACTGTGCCGAGCCAACTCCCATTTTCTCAGCAAATGACGTTAGATTAGCTATTTTGTGTTTACTCCCTATGAGGTACGGCAGTGGAAATCAATAGACTTTAAACACCTCTATTGAGGTTGATTTTTGCCCCTTAGAGGGAGAAGAAGTGGAGCCCAGTAATGGCTTTTTTTAATGCTGTAATTTCTTTTCATTGTTCAGCGTCTAATCTGGTGTCCCCTCTGTTTATCCTTTTCTCCTTCCGTTTTCTTTTTGTCTTTTATCAGCTTACAGCACTTTTTACATCGTGGGCCTCATACTGTCGATGCAGATCCCTTTTGTCGGCTTCCAGCCAATCAGGACCAGCGAACACATGGCTGCTGCAGGTACAACCCTCCCCTTTTAAAGCAGAGTCTGAAGGTTGCTTAGAAGGGCCTCTTTTTATGGGAATATATTATAAAAGTGTTAAATGATTGGTTAAAAGCCTGATCAATTATATGTTTGTTCTTTTTTTTGTAGAGGAATGATACCACACTGAGAAATGTAGATTAACCCAGCCTTTAATTTTGGTTTATTTATACTGAGGGAGCAGATTATTATTATTAACGATGAATGGATTGAACATAACCATCTTAGAGCCTAAAGCTTAATCCTTAAGAACCTGTGGAGTGTCTAAGAGAGGATCTACACATGTTGGAAGATTTATAATGGAAGAAAAGTAGGGTTTAAGTTGTAAAAGAGGGGTTCAAAGAGGTGTGAGACTGTTTCAGTGCAAAGACTATCAGTTTATACATATTTTTACAGATGCTCTGTAAATGCATAAATTCACAGCAAATTTAAAAAGTACTAAAAACACAAAATGAAACATAATATCCAAATGCCAAGGGAATTTCTGCAGAGAAGAAATGACAGAAAAAAAGACATGCAAAGTGCAAACATCCTGCAAATACATAAATGGTGTGAACACATGCATGCAAAACAAATTCTAAAAAATGGTGCAAGTTTTAAGAAAAGCTGCAATAGTCTCCACATACGGTGTATAATCATAATCGTTACAGCTCTGCATGAAAACACTGATCCATTTCCAAAAAAAGTAACAAGAAAGCACCTTTCCATGACCCTCGCATGCTTACAGCCTGTTCACTGCTCTCCAGTTTAGCTTGAGGAAAGTTTAATAAAGCTTGCCGGGTTTCAACTCTCAAGTGGACCCATCTGCTGCCTGGGAAACAGGGATGAATACATTGGCAAGCGCTCCATTCTTCAACTCATGTTTGCCTTTTTGGCTCCTTTTAAAACTGAGTGAATTCCCTTTTTTTTGGGAGAATTTTCTGAACTTTAGAGCAGGTGCATGTTGAAGTGTCCCTTTTTCATCACTCACAGCTTTGAGAGGCAGTAAATAAAAAAAGTGTATCCCCTGGTTTTGGCTTCCCTCTCTCTTAGTGAGCAAATGTGTTTCAGTATCATCAAGATAGCAGCTGCTTGGAACATCTGGTGGCGACATTCATGGAGCTCAGGGGGAGCTGTGAGGAGTGACTGGGCCACGGACCCATCGGGTCCGGTGAGATTTTGCCCCGTAGGCGGCAAAGCAGAGCGGCAAAGACTGACAAGGCTGTTAGCAGCACGGCAGCCCTTCAGGAGACAGGCAGGGACCTAACCGTGGAAATGAGTGAGAAGCTTTGCTGCCTGGCATAAAGGGGGGGGTGGATTTCATGCAAGGTTTGAGAGAGGAGGGTAGGTGATGCAAACTGGAGAAAGCAGACCACTCTTTGGTTCTCATTTGTTAGACAGAATGGTCCAGGCAGGCAAAGAGGTGCTGGAGAAAACGCTCCAAAGAAAGTTGGAGTAAAGGAAGAAAAAAAAGCAGCGTTACTGAAGTGCTGCGAATAAAGATAATACAAGCAAAGAGATGGGCTTATTTACACAGATACCACTCATGCATTTCAAATATGTTGTCCTGAGGTATTAGTCTTCAGCATCTGCCTGAATAGCCAAGGGGGATCTCATGGACTGCTTTGTAGACAACGCTGCTGAAATGACAAAGCCACTTTGTACCCAGCAGGAGGCCGAATCAATCAGAGCTTCCTCAAACATCCAGCTGGAGGTTCTGTTGGATGTTGTCTCAGTCCTTGATGTCTTCCTCTGCCTTTTTCTCAGGTGTGTTTGCACTCCTCCAAGCCTACGCCTTCCTGCAGTACCTGAAGGACAGACTCACCAGACAGGAGTTTCAGACGCTCTTCTTCCTGGGGATCTCTCTTGCTGCCTGTGTCGTCTTCCTCACAGTCATCTATCTCACCTACACAGGTCTGTATCCGTGATTAAACCAGGGAGCTGACTAATTAATTCACTCTTCTATCTGTCCTAAATCTTTTGTCAAATGTTTTTAACCTTTTGTTAAATCAGAGAAAACGTTTTTTCTGAAAATGATAATTTTTATAATTTATTATTTTCCCTTCCAGTTATGAAGAAGTTTGCAAATTGAGTTCTACTTTTTAATAATGTAATTTGATGCTTGGATTAAGTTGGATTTACTAAGATATTAAAACTTTTACATTTTTTGATGTGAACAGAGTAAAATGGGTTTCAGCTTTCAGTATCTTTAAAAACCAAAATAAGAAAAAAGCCCAGCTTATTGAACCATTTTGGGTTTTTTAGGTCATCATTGACCTCTGGGTTTTGCTCCTTCAGCCTCTTAGGCATGGCTCTTCCAATGCTTTAACTTTTAAAGGATGTATTCATATTTGTTAAGATTTAAAATAGTTCTTTTCTCTTCTCAGTCCAGATATTTAGGTGTGAACTCTGCTTCAGACTGCATTGAGTTGACTGCAGTCCTCTTCCAAATGGACTCAGTTGTGGTTAGCTTCTGGTGTAAATACAAACCAGCCTTGATCCAACACCACTGTAGAAAATTCAGAGGTTTTTTTTTCCTTAACAAGGAACCATTGTTGTGCCTGTAGCAACACTGAATGTTATGGTCATACCTGATCTGCTGTATTCCATATTCCACCCCATCCAGTGGGTGGGGAAGCAGACGACGGCTATCCTTTGGCCTCTAGCACAAGTTTAACTATGAGGTCCCTAAATTAGAACTGGGACATTGTGAAACTGAGTTGAATGTACTGCTCTTGGTTTTAACAGTAACTTAGCAACATTAAAAAAAGGCACAAATTTATTCAAAATAGATTTTCATGATGGTGTCCTTCCATTTCCAGGTCTGCATTCCGTTCCTGGTCATTTCTTTGTTTTTGTTCTTACCCAAACAATTACACCAAAGGAGCTTCCTGGTGTTCCCATTTGCTCAGTGTGCATATATTTATTAATTAATTATACATTTGGTTGAAACCTTTAAATATAAATGTAAAAGAAGAAATTGTAGGACAAATCCTCAATGAATAAGCAGATCCCACCTGCCTTATTCTATTTTCATTTATCCATCAGCCCATCCCTCTATACTTCAGTTTGTTCATTCAGTGTTATTACTTTATTATTCAATAACTGTGTCTTCACCTGAACAATAGTATAAACCGAAAACAGCTGAATCCATCTACAAGAAGGAACAGAGCAGAATATCCTTAAAGGTGGGAAGAGATGCTGCAGATCTTCTATAAGTGTGATCTCCTCTGCCATTATCTGCTGCATTAACGGCATCAGAGAGCAAATGACTTTTAAGAAACTCCACAAGCTGATTAAAAAAAAAAGCCTTATCTGCTCTAGGAGCCCCTGGATGCTCTAGAGATGATTTTACAAAATATTTCTTCATAAAACAAATAACGTTATGAGCAGCTCTTATCTATAGAAAGCTTTTGGATGTTTTCAACCTGTCAGACTCTAAAGACCTGCAGCCATCATTATCTACAAGATATCCCTATATTAGTTACAGTAGCATTAAGATACATAAAGGTAGCTTAGAAATAAATGTTTATATATATATAAAAAGAAATAAATGTTTATGCATTCATCACTACTTTTCATTCAGTCATCAGTCTTTAGAGATATGTCGGATTTCTTTCCTGCTTTTTTATGTCACACTTTTCTTACATTGGGCCCTTGATTTTACGTTATTACATCATGTTCTACTCACCCATATGAGTTTTGTGTCATTCTGAAGATATTCCGTTAGGTTATATCCAAGTAGCATCTTCCTATGGGCAACGACTTGAAGGCACAAACTAAACAGTTCATAATTTATTCTTTATGGTACGCCAGCATTCATAACATGTAGGCGAATCACTGTCCCCCAGACATCCACGGTTATATTTTTTATGTACCGGTATATATTTTTTTAAAACAAAACAAAAAATAAAAAAAACAGCTTTCCCCTTTAAAGCTTTGCGAATGATCAACTGGGATTAGACACTTTTCTAGAAAGCTGACACACATTTCATAATTTAAACCTGATGGCTTAATTGCTTTAATGAAGAATAAATATTTTGGATAAACAGTAGGGAAAGGCTTTATTTTAGCTTTATTTTAATATCCAATGTCATTATCATTATCCCTAACTGTAACCCTTCTCATATTACCAATCCACAACCTTGGAGAATATTGGCTTTTACATGATAAACATGTAGGAACCCTGGCCTTTACTCTGCAGTACGTCTTATTTTTAATCCATTATTAGACGAATATTTGTTGAAACATAATTTGCAGCAGTTATAATGCTTTTCTATTATTTGCTCTATAGAAATTCTAAGGATGATTTTCCAGATTGATAGCTTGTCCCAACTGATACACATTTTGCATTACAGCTTGTTAAAAGGAAGGAAAGACCACATATTAGTCCTGTTTTTCCCTCCAAATTCACATGATTGTGGAGGGAATATGGTTGGTGGACAGTTTTCCTGGGCAGAGATCAGTTTTTATTTCCTCTGATGCTGATCCAGACCTGGGATTTAAGCCATTTCAGATCTCCATTTTGCTTTATTTTAGCCAAATGCACACATAATCTTCCATTCCTCTCATGGTCTGACATGCAGGCCTTCCCAGTGGGCTGCTAATCAGCATTCTGTGTGTCTGAGAATTAAACTTGGAAGGCAGAATGGTAAACAAGTATAAACAGAAATGGACGTCAGAGGTTTGCAATATTTTTTATTAGCTTTTAAATTATGTTGTGCCTTCTAGTGACCTTGCTTAGTATTTTGCACGTGCAGCCAGCTGTGAGTTTTCGATTCGATGATTATCCTTAGAAATCATAACCTGCTGTGAAAATTATGCAGGTTTGCTATTCCTCATTGCTGCTTATTGATTTGTTTCTAATTATAAAGAAAAAATATGCCCCTCATATTTTTTCCTTACAAAGTGCTGTTTTTCTTCATTGTCCCTACTAAAGTAAAAGAAAAAAACAAGCTGTCATTCCTTTAGGTATTTGTAGATGCTGTTTGCAAAGTTTTAGCTGTAACATTTGAAATTCAATGTTCAGCTGCTCAGGATAATATATACAGCTTGTCCAGGACTTTTCCAAGTGCAGACAGATGGTTGAGCATTACGTTTCCAGCAGGACGGGCTGGTGACTCGCATGAATGCAGACGTTCTGTCACTTGGACGTTGGCTTCGTCTGGTAAAACATTGCCGTCTGTCTGCCATTCGAATTTAGCAGTGAGCCTCGGTGACTGTTGGGTGCAGGGTGCCAGTTTTTTAGAGACACAACCTACTAAGTCTTGTCTGTCAAACTCTTATTTCAGAGTCTGTTGAAAACAGTTTCCTCAGTTTCTTTAACTTTAGCCAAATATTGATTGAATCAATCTGTACCTTCACATACATCACCTCCATTTTATTCCTTCTGCATTACTTTTGTCTCCTCTTCCCTAGTTTTTTTTTTTTTTATATCCCTGTGCCATTTTATTTTGAGGTCTCTCCATCTTATTTCAAACGCCTGCAAAAGAGAGCTACAGGACAACTAAAGAATTTTCCAAAGTGTCGGGTGTGTGTGCACCGTTTGAATTGAAGCTCCAAGAACCCCCCAGGAAACCAACTGAAATGTATTCTAGATCAAAGCCCAACTATGAGAAGACATTTGTAAATGCCCTGTGTGGTCTAATTTGCAACTTAAACGGTTTCACTTGAATTAAAAAAACAAGTCAGTTCCACTAATTAAATAACATTAATAAAATATATGTCAGACATCGATACATTTTCTGATGGGTTTTTTTTCACTGCATCTGTAGTATTTAATCTAAAGGCTTCTCTTATTAATCCCTCATCATAAATAGATGAGGGATTAATAAGTTTTATAAATCTTCATTGATGTCCAACATGTTCTTTTATCTTTACAAATATTTTTAATATAAAAATGACACATTTTATTGCATTAAGAAAATTTTTTCTTCCGGATTTCTTGGAACTTTTTTCCTAAAGTTTACTATAATATACTTCTGCAAACTTTCTGCACACCGGCAATCAATCCTTGCATGCCAAATGTTAAATAAGAGGCATTAAAACACAAACATTTTCTCATCGATCATCTTTTCTGCCTCCAGGATACATTGCTCCATGGAGTGGCCGCTTCTACTCGCTTTGGGACACCGGGTAAGCTCGGCTGACCTTCACACTCCTTCTATCGACGGAACCGACTGCATGTGTGCGTTTGTTTTCCGAGACGGCAATAAAGTCGTCCTGCAGCTTCCCAGGAGGGAAGAGGCTGCCGATCCTGGCTCTGTTAAACAATGCAGGAGGCACTCTGTGTTCTCCAGATGCTCTGCATTGTGTGGGATTTTATAGCGCAGCCAATCAATCCCTCACACTCTGACTGGCTAATATAAGCAGAATCAGGGATATTTTATTTGATATCACGTTTTAACTCTGTCCTTCCATGAAGTAAATCTAGCAAACGAATGTTCAATTCTACTAGCAGGAAAAACAAACCACTTGAATAAGTTTTTAACATGAACAATATTGTGATGAAGTATTTGATTACAACACTGTAGAGCATTTTAATCCACTAGCTTTTAAAGATTATTTTTTAAATTGAAGCCAGACTGGAGGGTTTTTGACCGTGAACGGTCTGTTTAAGCCTAGTTAGATGGGAGTCTTTGGATCATTATTCTGTTCTGTAACCCAGATGAGCTCAGGCTCAAGGTTAACTGATGGCCATTAGGTAGAAAGCAGAGTTTATGACTTTAGGCATCATATTACAACTTTTTCTAAAGTGTTTAATTTTGCCAGGTTGGTTAGAATTGCTTTTTTCCTCAAAATAGATTAACTTGCTTTATCTAGGTCATCTTTTTCTTTTCAATATTAATATGATCATTAAAGATGAAACACTGAAACAGGACAAATATACATTTTTTCTAAGTGTGATGAGGAAGATCTAATGTGTTATTCTCTTCATTTTTTGAGGGGAGAATACATGAATCATAATCTGTCTGGTTTTTTTTGTGTGTTTTGTTTTTTCCCCCCATCTTGTCGCCATAGATACGCCAAGATCCACATCCCCATCATTGCATCTGTGTCGGAGCACCAGCCGACCACGTGGGTGTCCTTCTTCTTTGATCTGCACATCCTGGTCTGCACTTTCCCAGCAGGCCTTTGGTTCTGCATCAAGAACATCAATGATGAGCGCGTGTTTGGTGCGAAGCTTTTTAAATGTATTTGCATCATAAAAGCTTTATTTGACATATAGAGTTGAGCTGCAACACGAGGCGTCCTGGTGGGTGGGGGGTGTTAATTCTGCTACCACTGTTTCCCTCGCCTAGCTTATCTAACTATGCTTGATTTTGGCAGACACTACATTCCTCCGTTAATTTTTTTTAATTCTTTTTTTTATTGCAACAAATCTGTTTAAATTTCTCACGTTTGGAAGTTAGAATGGTTGGTGGGCCCTTAACTGTCCCCATAGCCAACTGTCATTTTGAAAGCTTGCTAATAAAGACTACAAAAGTGACTCTTTTATTGCACATGCAGTTCATGTATCTCCTTGGATGCGCTTTCTTTTCAGTCGGTGAAGGAGCCCTTCACATTCACAGAAACAGCATACAGAATGTTTACTCATAAGTTAATAATGCTAGAGCTCTGCTTCCAGCTTGTTTTCAACTTGTCAAGCTGCTGCAAGAAAACAATAAGTCGATATGTTGCCCTGTGTTGTAGATAACTTGGAGCTGAGCGTCTTTGTCCTCCAAACAGTAATGTCTTATCTTCCTTGTGTCAGGATAGACCTGAGCCCCTTCATGGTGCAGCGGGGGTATATTATTCGTATCTTTACAAGCTGGTAGAATGTTTTTCATGTGTTAGTCTATATCAGCCTCCTGCTATAAAGCTCAGCTGCATTAGTTAGGCTTCCTTGTCTCCTTTGGTTTTCAGGGCTTTCCCTTTTTAAGTGGAATGACCTAGAGGCTGCCTGGGTGTCTTTACCAAACTTCTGAAATGTGCAGCAAAAAGACGCCTTAGGGATTAAGTGCAGATGAAGTTTGTGTGTTTAAGGAAACGGTCTTTTCAGTGCACCTGTGTTCAGAACTTAATTAACCGATAATCATTATTGATTTACGTGCACCTGTTGAGCAGGATGGCCACTTTTCAAGGACAACGATCAGCAACCATGCTTTATGCTTCTGGAAAGACGTATTAGACTGCCTTACATTTACTGCTCAGTCTTTCTGTGTATTTTTCAGGTTTATCTCCTTTCAGCTCTAACAGAGCCAGATTCACAGCGTGTTTATCCTTGTCTGACCTTTTGTTCTGCCTCAAACGATCTCTTACCCGCCGCTCTCTTCCCTCTCTGCGTTCCAGTGGCTCTGTATGCCATCAGCGCTGTGTACTTTGCCGGTGTGATGGTGCGGCTCATGCTGACCCTGACTCCGGTGGTGTGCATGCTGTCTGCCGTGGCCTTCTCCAGCGTTTTTGAGCATTACATGGGAGACGACACCAAGAGGGAAAAGCCTCCTGCTGAAGACAGCAGCGACGAGGACGACAAGAGGAATTCTGGGAATCTTTATGATAAGGCAAGTAGGGGTGGGGGGCAAAAAAAAAAGAATTTTGTCTCAAAAATGTGTAAGTCAGTATTTCTTGTTTTATATGGAGTCATTAAGACACAGGGTGACATTTTTCAAACTGTTAATTATGGTTATTGCTCATATCTAATAGATACTCAAAAGTTATTTTCCTTGGAACATTTGGAATTTGCATAAGATTAATATAAATTAAAAAAATCATTAATTCTCCAGAAAAGTATGTCGATGTGCAGTTTAGCATTTGCACTCACTATTTGGTCTGAACTCTTTGTATGAATTAATGCAGCTTAAAATTTATCTGCATTGTGAAGCCGTGGTCATTAAATAAACCTTATCCTGTGACATTTGGCGTGTGGGCAGGTGCCTCATCCTGTTGGAAGACGAAATCCGCTTTTCAATAAAGCTTCTCAGCAGATGGAAGCTTGAGGTTCTCTTAAAATTCTCTAGATAATTGGACTTGATAAAAATGAGTAGTTTAACACCAGCTGATGATCCAGCTACTAAAATCCCTTAGTGTTAAACCTTCACTCTGCACCTCAGGCAGCTCTGAGGCAGTGCTTCTCTACTGTGAAGGCTGTGGTTAACGCTGCTGCTTTTGAAAGGTTTACTCTTCACTAAATGTTTATTGACATGTTTGGACACAACATTGTGTTGCTTTAACCGACCGCCTGTGTCTGTTAATGACCGACTGCTGGACAGGTGTCATATGAACAGATTACAGTAGGTAGAGGATGATACAAGGGCGTAGGTTTGATATCAACTTTGGTAGGGACAATATTGGTCTTAAGATTCATTGATTCTTTGCAAAAATATCCATTCTCTTTTTTTTTATGCTTAATGTGAACATCAGGGCGCATTTCGTTTAAAGAGAAAAGCGGCATTTCTTGCATCATCGGCTATGATGAATGTGGAATTAGACTTTTTTCACTTTGAAAAGGTTTGCATTTGAACTTACCAGTGACTAAAACAGTAGATAAATGCATATTTAACCAAAAATAGTCTAAATATGTCTGTTATGTGGATTTATCCTGTTTTCTTTTGAAGATATAGAACTGTGCAGAGGTAAACGGAGGTAAAACCCACTCTTATCTTTTATATGCTCTCTCTGTATCATGAAACAAAGCAAAATAATACATTAAAGGGAGGGTAAATAAATTATATGTACATGTACACTGGAACTAGAAGAGGAACTGACACTGAGCCTTTAAAATATTAACCTTAATATACAAGTTGTACATCTGTGCTGTAGTTACTCTGTGTAGCTCATATTATGTATTTTATCTTGGGCTTAAACAATTAATCGGATTAATCAATTATTGAAATAGTCATCAACTAGGTTAGTAATTGATTAATCGTTAACTGAAGTATAGAAACTCTAAATCATGCCTTTAGCTGACAGAGCGACCCACTTAGAGAACGTTTCTGTTTACCTGTTTTAATGTTGTATAAAATCTTCTTTAAGAAACCGATTTGCAAAATAATAATTTGTTGCAGCCCTAATTTTATCATAACATTATAAAACACATTTCTTACATACATCTAAAGTGGAGATAACAGCCAAATAAACAAACATGTTAATCAAGCAAACTATACTAAAATACACATGGCATCATTGTGAGCTCCAACAGATCACAGATTCCAATTACTGTCCAAAATTCAACTCTCACCTGAAGCCACTTCCCTCTCTACCTGGGCTGCAACATCACCACTCATTGTTTGAGTTCCCTTAAATTTAGCCATATCAAATACGTGTGTGTGTGTGTGTATGTATGTATGTGTGTATATATATATATATATATATATATATATATATATATATATATATATATATATATATAGCTGCCCTGCATCATTATCACTGGATATGTTTCCTATAATCATGTAATGTTACTATTATACAAGTGTGTTTTTACTATTAAAGGATTAAATGTAGCACAAGCTTTTATATTATCCTATATTGCTTACTGTCAAAATAGCTTCTTATGTCCATTTCCTTTTTTAGTGGCATCATCTACCAACAACACTAAGACTGAGCCTAATTAAAATCACTTGAAAATTATAAAAGAAAATATAACACTATCTTATCTGTAATTTCATTATATCCTAAATAAAAAGCCAGATTCAAGCATGTTTACCAGACACTACTGTTTGTACTAATTTATTTATGGACTGTGTGGAAATCTATGAAAAATAAAATTACTGTAAATAGTGTTCCTCTGTTTGTCTTTAAGCTATTTCTAGAAGTAGAAATAGTTAATTAAATATCACCCTAATTATGCTTTCTAGACATAAAGTAGCAGATGTTTAGGTGCCATCTCGTGCTGTTATACTCTATAAAAGAAATAGAAACACCTGCTATTTATACCTGAACTGCCTCATTAATGAAAACGGTAACAAAGGAGTATTTGTACAAGGGAAACCCTCACATTTTCTTTTTTATTCAGCTGTGGTTAAGAATCAGAATTTTTGAGGGCTTACAGTGTTTGGTTGTCCATTTTTTTCAGCAGTTTACAGAACTCCTGCTTGACTCAGAATATTTAGTTTTATAAAAGAAGAAAAAAGGGTTTTGTTGATACTTCAGATTTAAATAAGATTTTCAGATGCTAATGTTGGTTCCACAAATCAAAGCACTCCCCTGCTTCTTAACAGAACTGCGATCAGCAGCTTTCACCTGTTTTAGCGTAGATGATTTATATCTATTTTTTTTATTGGGACTTGTTTCGTAGCCTAATATTAATTGTAGTAACCGTGGTATTCTAGCATGAATAACATTTTTATTTCGCAATCCAAGCATGCCAAACTACAGACCAGAAAACAGCTAGTCAGGACGAGAGAAGGTGGAACTTAAAGCAGAACAACCAATGAGAGTGAAGTTTAACAGGGGGTGGCCATGGCCACCCTGTGCAATGCCCTGGCCACCCTACTTGCCAATGTAAATTGTAGTACCTTCATTTTAGCATTTCACCCCACTATGCACAGCCGGCGACATAACATTAAAAATCACACAATACACCAAGCCATGAGTACCGGTAGGTGTTTACTTAAGTCTTTCTGATCTCTACAGGCAGCTTTACCACAATAGTAGATTCAAACCCTTAAATTAGGGCTTTTAGTTTCAGTGTGCCATCCCAAGATTTTTAGTGGCCCCATCTGGCCACCCCTATGAAACATTTCTGGAGCCGCCACTGCACAATTGCTGACTCTAAGGGACAGGAAAGAGCCGATATAAGACTGCTCCATCTGAGTGCCTGCCTGGTGCATAACCGTGGCAGCAACCGTTACCAGGCAGCGAAGCTGCAAGAGGAAAAGAAACAACTGTTGCATCAATGCTGTATTGGAAATTATAAACATGTTATTCACATAGAATTATTGGTAGGGACAAGTAGGTTGGTCCAAAATTTTGGTAGGGACATGTCCCTATGGTCCCTATGCAAAACTATGCCAATGGCATGACATGTTGTACCCTTAAGACTGTCCATAGTCAGTTTCCCTGCTCCTCTTTTCTATTTCTGCATAAGACCAATAATAAAAAATCAAAACTAGGGTTATCTAAAGTATCAATGCAAAAATGCTGTATCCAGATAAGACACTAATTTAGGCTTATAAAGTTACTTATTAAAAGTTTTGTTTGCAATTTTTGCAGTAGATAAATTTTGATTTCAAGATAATTTTTGGACTGAAAGAATATCACTTCTAACAACCTTAAAATATTGTCAAATTGTTATATTTGGTTTATTTTGCATTTATTTGCACACTTTTTTAACTCATAGAACCTGCTATTCTGTTGACTAAGAAAGTTCCAGTTTTTTGTGTTAATTAACATATTTTTATGGATTTATTTGGTATTTTTATCCCAAAGGTATTGAGTATCAAATATTTTCCTGGGTGTCGATATAGAGTTTATGATTTAGGTATTTTGCAAACCTGATCAAAACATAAACACTTCAAATGTTTCCCTCTGTGTTATATTTATATTAAATACATTTGGTTTCCTTTTTGAAGGAAGTTATTTGATTGTGACGGATCTTTATTTTTCATTTTTAACAATTAAAGCTGCTCATGAACTTCTCATTTGAATGAACAGCTGAATGTCCCTTTGTTCTTCTGGCATTGCGTGAGCAGAACCTTTGTAGTTTGAATTTATTTACACATCCGTCTGCTTCCCTTCTTACTCCCCAACTGTTGGAGTAAACTGTGATTCAGCAGTGACTCAGCTGTAGCGGTTTGATGTTGCTGCCATCCTCTCGGCTGTCTCGCTTTGTTGGATTCAGAGGCACATTCCTGAAACATTGCAAAACGGTTAGAAAAATAAAGACATAAGGTGACCTCTGACCCCAACGGCACTTTGTTCGAGGTGTTTCTCTTTAAAGAACAGGTCTCATACATACGAAGAATAAACTAGAAAAGTAGATGTTGCAAAAGGTTTACCTTTCAGCAGGATGACGACCCTAAATAAATATTTTTTAGAAAAATCATAAAGCCACATTAATTGATTTAGGCAGTGAATTTAATAGACATATAAATTAGTCTTGTTTATATTGATGGCTTCGTTGAGGCCGATTTTTAAATACTCTTATTTTATGAGCAAATCATTTGGGATCATCAGCCTGTCTTATTCCCCTGAAGTAGCCCTATTTACGTTTGGTTAGTCGGGCTCTTAATTAAGTTTTATTTATTCAGGCAGTTTAATCAGGGTAATGGGTCCGTTCCACAAGAGCACCCTGTGAAGAAAATACTAGCTCTTCTCATCAAATCAGAAAGCTAGTGACACCAAACGTTTATCGCAGAAAATCCAGTAAACTGCAACTATTTTGATCCCGCTCATTTAAATACGGTTTAATTTACCTATAACAACAAACATGATCTCAAAGCACAATATTAGACACACCTCAGTTTTGACTTATCATTTAACTGTATTAAAATCAGTCCATTTTGTTCTGTTCTTGCATTGAAAGTGACAGTCATGTAAAGCCTGGTGTTGATTGAAGCATAGCCAAGTGTTTAGTAACTTTCCATCAGTTGGTGTATGTGGTTAAACCGAAAAGGAACATCCCCCTTTTTAACGAGAAAGAGGTTTCTGTTCTGCCAGCTTCAGAATGAGTGGTCTCCTACCACGGCCAACTGGGGGTTGAGATGACAGGAAACACAAAACTGAAATGGCATCATTACAGCATATCTTCCGGTGGGAGTTGATGCAATCAACTGGTTTTCCTTAGATAGAAAACTTTGAATCAATTAGACTGTATGATCTGGTGAATTGAGATGACATGTTGTGAATTGATGCTTTATAAATAAACTGAATTTGAGATTGACACACAGCAAGCATGATGCACTAGTCAGTTGTAACAATAGTTGTACCTATTATTCCAGACATCTTGATAAAAACAGAGGCAGTGAGATTGGTGCTTAAACTATGAAGGAAATGGGCTGCACAGAATAACTCGGATGCAGAGAGTCTGGGGTAATCTCTATTGGAAAGAAAAGCAAAGAACCGTTAGCTATGGTTTGGGCAGTGGCACCTTCCATCAAATATGTAGCTAAACACAGAAACACTGACTAGGATTTCCTTTATAGGAACTGAATGCATTAAAAAGCGTCTTCGTTAATGAAATCACAAATGCTTATTTACCAAGGAGCTGGACAAAAGTTCCTGTCTTCTTGGAAACCATTTTACTTCTAAACCAAAAGGTATTTTCAGCTCTAAACATCCATGCGTCTCTCACCTTAGTATTTGTCAACGCAGCCCTTTAGATGTGAGGAAGATAAAACCTAAAGCCACATCCTCTGTCTGTTGGTGTTTGTACTTTCCCTTTTTCTCGCTTTGAAAGCATCCAAGCACAAATGGAGTACATTGTTTTGATAGTGGTTTTTAAAGTAAAGAACACTATCAAAGACTGGTTATGTCAAAGGATAAAGCAAACAAACCAGCTCAGCTGTTCGATCTATCTAGTCCAGTAAAGCAAAGAACAACAGTCGATAAGCTAAATGGCAACTGCACCAAAACTCTTGAGCCATCTCTTAGCGACAAGAATAAGCAGTGTAATATCTCAGGAACATGGGCTCCACCTTTAAGAACGTATTCACAGGTAAAACTGTTGATTCTACTCAGGAGATTATGAAGCCTTCTGTGTTAGTAAGGCTAAAATGAGGTCACCTCAGGTTTCATCCATCTTACTGTACACCACAGCCATGACTCATCTCCCAAGGCAGTTTACAGCCTTTCACACCTTAAGACATGTGACCAAAACAGCTGTCACACCTCTAAGATAGCTTTTAGAACTGAATATAGCATGAGGCCAGTGTCTTGTGTGTCCGTAAAGACCCTAGTAATGACTACAGCTTATAAGCCTAATGGCCTAGTTTGTAGAATTGGAAAACATTTCAAATGAGTGAAGGATTTCATCTAGAAATAAAGGAAAACATTTACACTAATAATAAAGTTCTATCCGTGAGTTGAATCTGATTTGGGAACATCTGGTTAATGGTACAAATGGCAAAAAAAAAAAAAAAAAAGAGGTAGACCTTAAATCAGTTGCAAGGAAAAAGAAACTGTTGATTTGAATAACTTTTAATTTGATTAAGAGATGCATGACCAGACACTGAGATTATGATCTTCTATGTGGACAGAAAGGAGAGGATTGCAACTGAAAGAAATAATCAGTTTAATTGTGATTAATCTATTACTGAAATGACCAACTATTTGGGTCATTAACCTTCTGGACTATAAAGATTCTTCAACATGACATTTGCTTAAGAGTCACTCAGAAGTGATTGAGTCTGAATTGTATAAAAAATATAAACATTTTCTATTTATTATAAAAATTCTTACCTGTAAAGTTGCTTTAGGGGGAAAAAATCATATATATTAGGGCTTGGTGATAAACAAAAAATCTATTCACTTGATTTTTGGAGTATCACATTGTTTTCACCAAATGCACACCTATCATAGCTTAGAGGGATGCCAGTTCATCACTTTGTTCTTTTGTGTTCTTTTAATTGATAAACTAGCTCTCTAATACCACCAGCTCCAGAGATTTAATGTTCAGTTTTTATCCTCTGTTGTGAAAAATGGTTTTCTTAGAAGCATGTTTCGCAGCTTTAAGTTAAGGTCAACTCCCAGAGAGAGATAAATGAGAGATAAGTGTAATCAAATATATTTTTTGAAAGCGATACATGTAATTTGTCATTATAAGAAACTTAAGTGAAAGGGGAAAAAAAATCGATCATTTGGATTTTGTAGGAAAACATTGACAATTACATTCCTAAGCCATATCACCAACCTATTCATCTATTCATTGCAGTCGATTTTTCCAAATAAATCTGAGATCCCCAAAGTTGGTCCTCGCGGGCCCGCTCTCCTGCAGGTTTTAGAGGTTTCCCTGCTTCAGCACAGCTGATTCTGATGATTGCAATTCGGCAAAAGCCTGTTTATAAGCAATCAATGAAAATCAGCTGTGCTGAAGCACGGAAACCTCTAAAACCTGCAGGACGGCAGCCCTTGAGCACCAACTTTGGGCATGCCTGAAATAAATCAATTGGCTGCTTAAACTGTTTGTATTAAAATATGGATATATCGACCTTAATGATAAAATTAGAGGGTTTTTTTTGTTCGTAATTTAGTCATTTATCATTCAAAATTTACAATATACTCTGTTTTTCACTTCAAAATGTTTCTTTATTGGGAAATGTTAATTTGCTAAAAATATTTCCTTTTAAGATGTATTGATTTATCACAAAATGAATTGCTAGATTAACGTCTTCATAAAATAATCAATAATTGCAGCACTAGAGAGGATAGACTCTCATTGCCAGCAAAAGCTCTATCAGTGACTCCCTCTATGAGAAATAGACTCAAATGTGCTAAACCAGGAGTTTTTTTCCATTTGAAAGAAAAACTGAGCTAGCGGCAGCAGGAATCACTAATATTGTGCTGTTGAAGAGGAGCAAAATAAATAAAATTTGCAAAAAGTGTTGAACAAGTCCTCAAGCGCTGAAAGCCTAAAGCAGCAAAACTATTTAGATTGTAAAGGATGTCTCAGTTTTAAGCTCATTCTCCTGTAGAAAACTAGGGAGTTTGTTCCACAGAAGCTGCTGTCTTTCTTTCAGCCCTTCTTTGTATCAGTACACATGTTGGTTTCAGTTTAACATCTCATCACCTGGAAATATCTGATGATGCCCTTTATAATTTTTCTTTCACGATTTAATCTCGCCGTTTTGATGTCTGCGGAAGAGGCTGTGCATACTAATATAATTCAATCTTCTTCTGCAGCAGAGCAGTGATTTTCTGGTGTGAAATAATATTGACTCATCCCAGAGTTCATGCAGCAGTTCTCTGACGCGTCTTTGCACAGCACCAAAAAAAAAAAAAAAGTTGTGGGCACTTTTAGGACTTAACTCATTTGGCAGTATTAATAATGCATCTCATTGAATAATTCATATTTCTGGAAGCTTTTAGTTTTTTCTATCTATAATAATAAAACTGCATGTCTCCCCCTGCAGGCAGGCAAGGTGCGCAAGCATGTGTCTGAGCAGGAGAAGGCGGAGGAGGGTCTGGGTCCCAACATCAAGTCCATCGTCACCATGCTGATGCTGATGCTGCTGATGATGTTTGCCGTCCACTGCACCTGGGTGACCAGCAACGCCTACTCCAGTCCCAGCGTTGTGCTGGCGTCATACAACCATGACGGGTGAGAGCTGCAGAAGTGAAGATTTAATAACTGCCACCAGCTGGGTTCCCAGTGGTGGTTCACAATATAGGAAGACTGATTCAAACACACCTTGCAAATAAGCTCAAATGCATAGACAGGACAGCACAGAGCTGTGGGTTCATATTGGTGCATGTATATTTTATGAGGTGTATGGAAATACTGATGTCATCATAGATCCGATAAGTCTGTTTAACATAGTTTCTCCAGGTTACAGCAAACACATGTAGACCTTCTGTGAATGAGTTAAAAAGCTTATTTCTTCTTTCTGAAATGCTTCACTGGCCTAATTATTTTTTTGAAGCCCGAAGGAAGAAATATTGAAGGTTAAATGTTAGACCCACAAGTTCTCATGCATATATTTATGACATTACAGTAGGTGCACAGACAATACTTTAATCATGCTATTCTGAGCTATGCTGCTGTCAGGTATGCTTCCTCCTTTTGGATGCATGCATACTAAGAACAACTTTAGTGAAATTAAGGACTTGTCTTTTATAACCAATGATTTCTTACTTTATTAGGAACAGATTATCTTATTCTTATTCATAGCTTTGCCTAAATCTCTCTTATTTTCCAGATCAGGGTAACACAGTATTTTCTTCAGACGTGAATGTCGTTCTAATTCTTACATTATGTTGTATCTTTTATTTTTACATTCTGTTTTAATAATGCAAACTGTCAGGTGTTTAAATGTTTTTTTGTTTTTTGTTGCTCAGAAATCTGGCCCTATTAAATAAATTCCTTCTTAGTAAAAATCAATTCACCTTTCAGAAAAACAAAGCTAAACAAACAGCCAGAGCTGCAATAAGGGGGTTAGATGAAGGGATGTTTGTATCAGAGTGGCCTAGTCAAAGTTAGACCTAAGTCAAGTTAAACATATGAGCAGGTTTAAAAATTAGATATTAATGGATGCTTTCTATCCATGTATACATGTTGCAGAGACGTTTTTACAAAAGATGGGTCAATTCTTTAAATTGTCGGTTGGGCAAATGTGGAGAAGAGGCGCCTCTATAGACCTGCAGCTCAGTTTGCATTGAAGCATTTTCTGCACATTTTGAATTCAGGGTGTTAAGCAAAAATATGCATCAGTTTTTTTATTTTTAGGGGAAAAAATAAAATTTTTCTTGTCTTATCTTTTAAACCTCATGTCCGTACTAGAAAAAAATGTAGAAATCTAAATAGATAACAGATACTTGCAGTAGGCCTGTTGAGGGGGATTACTTTTTAACATTTTTTTTTTTTCTTCCCCTACTTTAGGACTCGAAACATCCTGGATGATTTCCGGGAGGCTTATTACTGGCTGAGACAGAACACCGACGAACATGCACGTGTGATGTCTTGGTGGGACTATGGCTACCAGATAGCCGGCATGGCTAACAGGACCACCCTGGTGGACAACAACACATGGAATAATAGTCACATAGCGCTGGTAAGACCTCCTCTTTTCAACTTATCATTCTATTATCGTTTTGCTCAGATAAACACAGGGAAACTAATGTCTTCTTACAACTGAATCATCAGCAGATCTTAAGTTTTTGTCTAATTGAAACATTACGCATCATCGCTTGTTTGAACTAGAATTTTTGCTGTAGGAAAAGTCATCAATTCAGAGTCAGATTTCCTGGCTTTGATTTATTTTTCCAGCCCTAAACAATAAAATGCAGACAAATGTTTTTATCTTTTAGTTAAATCTTAAAGCCCTGCAGCTCCGCTCTATCTTGTTTTCTACCTGCTGCCTCGTCTCTGCGGCGTCTGTCCACAGGAAATGAAATTACAAGGAACACATGATTGTATTTCTGTTCAATAATTCTCCTTTCTGCCCCTGCAGAATTGAAACGGTGCGTCTTTTCAAAACAAGAAACCCCAATTAAAGTCTAACTTCAGCTGTCAATGCTTTCAGGTGGGGAAGGCCATGTCGTCCAATGAGAGCGCAGCCTATGAGATTATGAGGTCACTGGATGTGGATTACGTGCTGATCATCTTCGGAGGAGTAATCGGCTACTCTGGCGACGATATAAACAAGTTCCTGTGGATGGTGAGGATCGCTGAAGGGGAGCACCCCAAAGACATCAGGGTGAGTGATGGAATAGAGACCTGCTGTGTGAGAGATGGATGTTTCCTGTTAAAGAAAATGGCCGGAATAATGCAGCAACCTGCATGTCAGACAATTATGGTAATTCTAAAGGATGTTATTAGATTTAAAATGAAGGTAGTTGTGTCCCTGCACACAGTCTCATAAATAGGACATACTTTTGGAAATAATTCAGCCTCTATGGAGGTTTTAGGGTAAAGGTTGGTTTGAAGCTGCCTTTCATTATTATAGATCAGCTGTAAGCAATACTTCAAAAATCACGATTCAGTTTGTTAACCCTTTGATCAACAAGTGTAACGAGAAAAAACTTTGGGGTTTTTAAACTTTTTCTGAGGAATAAATGTACTAAAAGTAAATTTTACTATAAATAGTTTACCATTTATGCTTAAAACCATAAATTACAAGCAAAATGTCATTTTTTTCTTGCATTATTTCATCTCAGTTTTGCATTTAATGTTTTACTTGGATGTAAGAAAAGCAAATAATCAGCAAAACTCGTAAATTTTTCATTTTAATAAAAAGTGTAATCAAGATTTACTGATTCTTTTGCAAATCAGTAAATCTTGTTTAAACTAAATGACCCCAATGATAAAACTAAGAACTTATATTTCGGTTCTCTTCAGTGCTTCTTGAAGTTTCCACCAAACAGCCAGATTCCACGTTTTATTTTTTATTGGTTTTATTAATGTTTCCTTTTGTTTTTCAGGAGAGTGACTACTTCACTCCTCAGGGAGAGTTTAGAGTGGACAAGGCCGGCTCACCGACTCTGCTCAACTGCCTCATGTACAAGATGTCGTACTATCGATTTGGCGAGATGCAGGTGAGGGAGAAACGTCTACAAAAAAGTCATTTCAGCAGATCATTTCTTTACCAGTTGGGGCACGGGTTAAGTCTCAGGAACAATTCCCCTCCTAGGAGATTCCTTTTTATTGGTGTTATGATCCACTTCATTCTTACAAATAATGAGCTCCAGTTCGGTGGCACAATGAAAAACTAACAAGCAGCTGCCATCGCCAATCAAAGACAGATGCACCACTCTGTTTTATAGTACACAGTTTCAGCAGGAAATAACAGGTATCTGTCAGCACTAAAGGTGAAGGATTCCTGCCACTGAAGTTTCAAAGCGGTGCCGGCTGACAGGAAGGGATTTTAAAAGGAATTGCTTCAGGGGGCATGTGGTGTCAAAGGCTGTCAGAGGAAATATGAGGGATTGGTGGAAGCTTTTTAAAAAATCTGTCAGAGCTTCTCATGGCAGATTTTGGGTGGAAAAATGGGATATCCGCCCTGATAGGTGCTCGCATCCCTACTATAGAGGCCGCTCGGCCAAAACTGGGTGAATCAATGCAGCTGCAGACCACAGAGAGAGAGAGAACATCAGCTGAAGCTCAGAGCACAAAGTCAAAACAGACACACTCTGATTTCAGGATGTAAGGAGAGAGTCTGGGGAGCAGATTAGGTTTACAGAAATAAGATGAGCCCAAGATAACAGAGATGTGAGCGCAACACAGGGATAAAAAAAAAAAAACACTCCTTTTCCTAACATTATATTCTAAATATTACTCCTTACAGATATGGAGTTTACAGATCCAGCTCCTTTTATTGACGCCTACGGTGAAAATGTGTAACTGGATGATCTCAGATGGAAAAATGTATTCAGTTGAAAAAGAAAAATCATATTTTTACTAAAAGCTTCAATATTTAATAATATTGTAGCTTTTTGTATTTATTGTAAGGATGGAAAATGTGAAAATGAATTGTTTTGATTTCTAAAGCAGCTGCCTTATGACTAAAAATAAATCAGTTTTTATGAGAGTCTAAGGAAAATAACCCCTCCCACTTTCTGATCGGCCGCTTAACTTAATTAGCAGCTCTTTAGCTACAATTCAATTCACTTATACAGGGCCCTCCACCATTATTGGCAGCACTGTTTTAGTTGTGGTTGTGGACTTTTTAAAACTCTCCTTTTCACAGACACATGATTTTTTTCTTTTTTTCAGTGTGTGATTTTGTTTTTACCACCAAAGTAATGTAATCAAATAAAAGGTTGTTTTTTTTCTCCCTTTTTGCATTTGGGTTCTATGTTGTATAATAAAATAATTTTTAGAAGTCCTCGACCACGTCTTGAACAGGGGTGCCAATAATCGATGGGCACTGTATAGCACCACTTCACAAACTGTCAGATTGGTTTTGAAAACCAGTCTGATGATCTTGTGGCGATGATTGTATTGTAGTTGACTCTTCAGCAATCCCTCAGGGGAAGCATGCATGTGGAGATGGTGGAGAGGAAAACTCCCTTTGAACTGTAAGAAACCTGCAGAACCAGAGTCAGTGTGAGCGGCAATCTGCCGAGGCCGACTGGGGTACAATGAGAAAGAAGCAGACATACAGAAAGACGCAGATATACAAAAGGTTAACAAGCTCTACTGGTGCCCCCGTCCATGAAAGGCACAGCTAGACAGACGAGCTACAAACCAATTCATATGTCAGAGGATGAGAGAGACCACATGCATACAGTTAGTCACAGCAAAAGAAACAGGAACAGGAGTGAAAAATAGGCCAAACTCCAACATTTATAATCAAACATGTTGATAGCAGCCTAGCTAATGTTTCAATCCAGGATGGAGTCACAAATGAACAGGGACGGATCAGATGAAGCTGCTATGATGAAAAACAGCAGAGGGAACATAAACTTATCAGTGGAACTAATGGATACAGCAGAGCAGGAGAACAGAGATAGAATGTGGGAAAGTGGTCCCCACCCCCTCCAGCACCCTAAACATATAGCAGCATTAATATAGAAAATAACTCGGGGTAACCTAATTATTTTGGATAAAATATGAAAAAGCTTAAGCCAAAGAGAAACGTCTGTTTCAGGATATTTTGAAATACAGGTTTTTATTAATGCTGCCATGAAACCAGCAGCTGAAACTTTAGATGGAGGAAAATATGCAAACAATTTTGAGGTCTGCAAGTCTTCTTGTACTGGTTTCATTTTGCAGTTTGAAACATAAGAGAGTTGTTAACAAACATCACAATAAAATGTGATTTAATTAAAGAAACTTTATCAATTTCACAGGTGTAGTGAGTAAAAGTATGCAAAACTACAATGAAATAATGATGGTAATATTTTTTATCTTTTAAAAAGTGCAATGTAGAAACAGGAGAAACAAAGATGAGATTGGGATTTTCCAATAAATGTGACTGCTACTGTGCTGTTTGTGTCACGAAATCTGCTCTCTGAGGCAGACAGAGGATAAAGTAAATACGCTGTAAATGTGGCCCAGAAAAGGAAAAGTTGTGTCTGGAAAAGAGGAAATATGAGAAAAATACAATGTTGAACAGAAGCTCAGAAGAAGGAAGTGGGAAGGACACGGTAACAGTAGCTGCGTCTGAAGGACGAAGCGTCAAGGACTTTCAGAGCCGAGTAACAGACACAAGAGGTTGTTTGAGTGGCTCAAACAAAAACTTTAATGGATTTGTTGCTCAAGGGGAAACTCCACAGTGTTATCAAAGAGCTGTTAAACACTATGTTTATCTTTTATAATTAAGTTTCAGCTGTTTCTTTTATATATTAATCGGAGCTATAAAACTGGGCAAGCAGCTTTGGGATGTAACTTTATTGAAAAGTTTTACTTGCTTTGTTTTCGTAAAAAACTGGATGAATAAATTTACATTAATGTGACTCTAGCTCGATGTGTGGCTGCAAAGATCGCTGGTTCAAAATTCAGACTCTCACTTTGGGCAAGATCTTTGTCCTGAGCGACACTCTTAACTCCAAAAGATCTCCCTAAGGGATGGATGAAGGTGATCATTTTACGATTGAAGTGCCAGGAAAGGTTTAACTTAATGTCTTTCTGATGGTGTCTGTGAAAGGGGTTGTGTAAATATGTTTTTTTTTCTTATCTTTTCTCTCCCAGCTGGATTTCAGAACCCCACCTGGCTTTGACCGAACGCGCAACGCTGAGATCGGCAACAAGGACATTAAGTTCAAGCACCTGGAGGAGGCATTTACCTCTGAGCACTGGCTTGTCAGGATCTACAAGGTGAAGGAGCTGGACAACAGGGAGACACTGGACCACAAGATCCGCAGCGTGGTGACCAAGCAGAAGTACACCTCCAAGAAGGTATCTGTTCTAACATACTTTTCATCTTGAACAAGAAATAACCGTTTTTGATAAAACATTTACATGATCTCCCGAAATACTGTTCGTTATAAATGGTTGGCAGTGTATATGTTGACTGAGTTTATTTTATCGTCTCTGAACAGACTGCGAAGAGGAAGCGAGGACACATCAAGAACAAGCTGGTCCTGAAGAAGGGCAAGAAACTCCCCAAAAAATAAAGATGGCTCTGAACTCACACGAACGTAAAGAAACCTCCAACAACCAATGATGAAGAACACAAGGGGCGGCCAGGTGCCTGGCACTTGGTCAGGAGCGCTTCTCGTTAATACGCCCTTGTTTATCGAGGGAGCGTCATATCCGGCCTGACCAGAATCGTTGTCCGTTTTATCCTGAGGACTTCTGTCTTGCTTTTTTTTGTTTGTTTGTTTTTGTTTGTTTTCTGTTTGTTTTCTACTTTTTACTTGAATGTGGCGAGGCATAGGGCGGCTCTGATTGATTAAAAATCTTTTTTGTGTGTGTGTGTGAGTGTGCGCGTGTGTTTAAAGGGGTTGTTAATGACTTGATTATTAGTCAGGAGATAGTGTGATCCATGGGAAGATGAGGAACGTTTGCACCAAAGACCCATCAACCTGGCTCCATAGCACATGGGAAGTCATTGCTAAGAGCGAGGGAAACGCCGGAATGAAAGCTGAGGAACTTGTTCCTGACGCGTGTACAGAGAACAGTATGCGGTATGGAGGAACGCCACCGTCTACACACAGCACATCTGTAATATTAACCTTTTTACCATCCTCATCTCCTTAACGTCTGGCTGGCTCTTTTGTTCTCCACAGATTCTCTAACCAATTGGCCTAATATGTAAATACCTTCTGTAAAGACACAAAAAAGCTCTAAAATGATGGTAATATATTGGATCATTGTGATTTTTAAATGCAAATTTCTTGGTTTTTCTTTGTCTTTTTTATAGGACAGCAAGTAGAACAGTGAATGCAATAATCATACACAAGGGGGGGGGGGACTTCAGATCATGTTGGAAGAACGAATTTGAATGTTAGATTTTTTAACATCTCCCCTCTTTTATTCCACGGCTTGCGTTGACTGTACATTTCTGTTTGGGTTTTTAAGGCGGAAGCAAGAAAACGTAAAAAAATAAGCAAAAAAAATAGGTAGTGATTTCAAATTAGGCCTTCAGGGGGAGCTCTTGATTGAGTAAAGCCTAGTTATATCGCCGAACTCTAACTTGCCGTTTACGATTTGTTTTTGTTTTTTGTTTTTGCTCGTCATGCATCTGCTGCTGACCACACATGGTGATGACTTTGTTTTATGAAATCTGGAAATCAACCTTAATGTGAAATAGGTTTTTGGTGTAGACTGGACGAAGACGGATGTCTGAGTAGATGGAGTGACATTCTATAAACCAGGAGGGAAAAATTATTGACAGAGCTGTGTCCTAATACTATGCTGCATACTTATCCTCAGCGTCAATGTTGGATTACATCAGATGGGCAAAAAGAGGAGATAACTGTTCCACAAAGTCTTTGGGGGTTTTTTTTTTTTTTTTTTTCTTCAGTAAAATATTTGTAGAACGAAATAAAAACCCTTTTCCATCATAAAATCATAACTTGCAGGAAAATTTGTTTTTTGTGAATGTAAACGAAAATTCAAGGGCAATTTTAGACAAATGCATAAATCATTCTTTTATTTGTAATCATTCTTCTGCGGCTGAGGAAATTTGTAAAAAGTAAATAAAATGATGTAAAAAGAGGATAGATTTTGCGAATTTATTTCACCAAACCTGAATTACCAGTGATAAATCTTTTTCAGCATTACAGTAATTAAACCTTCATGTTTCTGAGCAACTTTTCTTGCATGATTAACTGTAATTTTGATTATATACAAAGTTTTATATACAAAGTGTTTGTGGTTGGAAGAGCCTCTCATCATCACCCTAATCTTAAACTCCCACAACAGATTATCTATTTAAAGTCTGGACTTTGCCTCAACCACTGAGAAAATTTACACATCTAAATAACCCTGCTGGACAAAACTGCAGCTCCCAGAATGCATCATTCCCCCCAAACCAGCACAACCTGCTTTATGTTAACACACCATGATGGAATGTTGCAAATTAACCGAAGGAGAGTTATTATTATTTAATAATAATAAGTAATTATTTGTACGTTATAAACTATGCACATTATGCACTGTCTGTTTGGTTCAGAGGAATATTCGTCACAGCAGAGGCTAATTATTAGGGCTTAAGTTAGACAATTTAAAAGTTCTGTTGACATTAGCAAACATTTCTCACTAACAGGTGATGTGAAAATATAAAGAAAAAACCTGATAAACTTACGCAGACAAACAGTGGATAGCAGAGATTCAGCCCTAGCCTTTCCAGAAACTGTCCTCTTCTGTCAGCTGTCTTCTGTTTCCTGAAGTTTTTTGTTTTTTTCCCCCTAAAAGAAACTTTTTTAGTTGGCTGAGGATAAATCTGCTCTCTTCACGGTTTTAAATCTTTGCATCTCCTTCATTTCCTGAGTAGATGGCCTTAAGTTATACCTACCTACTCAGTTTTGGCCAAAAATCGTCCCCTAATGGATCCGTTTTGCCCTGATCTTTCCATTAACAGGATAATTTTTAAATAAATTTCATATAAATTAAATCTACATGTATTTGGATATCCCTCAGTAAAGGAGGTTGAATGAAAAAGCACAACAGACTTTAAGCATTTAAGAGACATTTTAAAACCTACCATCACTGCTCTGTGTTGATCATTATTTATTTTAGCCAAGCAGGCAACAAATAGGTGTAGAATTATAACAGTTTTCCACTGAATCAATAAAGAAAGATGCTTCAGCTGGATTGTGCCGTACGGCTTTGGGACACAGCTCTGACCCTGCACTGTTTGCTCATGTCGACAAAAACTGAAAGGGGGATTTATGCACGTTTGGGAACGTTTTTTTCTGTTTTTTATCAAACCAGAGACGCTCGGCTGTCTTTGCTTTGTTCATCACACAGAAATTTAAATTTTTTTTATGTTTCTGAATCAGTTTGTTGATTTTTCTGACTGTTATCATCAGAGGCTTTAGGCTGCTGGAACGGGGACATTTGGACGCGTCGTTGCACTCTACCTGTCCTTTGGGGTCTCCTTTGTAAAGAGAGGACAGAGTTCAGATTAAGCCTTAATGTGATGTAATTTTACTTTTCCTTATGTGATCATTTTTTCTTAAATCTTCTTAAATTGTTGCTTTTTTTTTTGGCTCTGTGCGGTTCTTCCTGGACTCTTTTCGTTCGATGCAGTCTCCATCTTGTCCCTGCTCACCTTCAGAGTTTACATCTTGTTCAGTTGTGCCACCTCTAAATATACTCCTAAAGGAAAACAGCCATGCTTGTGTGTGATGTTTTTTTTATTTATGTGATTATGTTTATTAGTTTTTCCTCTGGAGGTTTTTATTCTAAAAGCCAGATGAGGGCAAACTGAACCACTTGATGGCAGCATTCACCTTTAACTACAGATCTGTCTTTGGGAGGAATGATGGGGTTTTCCAGGGAAATCATATTCCTGGTTACATTCCTGATCCAAACTAGAAGCTTCTAAGATGAACCGTTACATAAGCAGCGTGATGATGTGACTGTTTTTTTCTTGTTACGTAAAAATCTGAAATGTCATTTTCTGGATCAGTAAGAGGAATAATGATTATGGAGGAATTCTACTTAAGACTTTCCTGCCCTAATATCTAAAAGTGGCGTATCCATCCATGTGTCAGTCTGCCCTTCATCCCTCCTTCCTTCCTCCATCAGTTTCTTTCTTTCATCCATCAATCAGTTTGCCCTTCATGCATCAGGCCATCAGTGCTTCTGGCCAGAGGTTCATCAGTTTCTTTGATCTGTGTTTTCCATCGGTTCCTTTCATCTGTCAGTCAGTTTATATATGTCCATCTTTCCTTCCTGATTTTTTTAAAAAAATGTGTGTCTAAAGAGTTCTGTATTAAGCTTTAGATTTTTGTCCCTTTTTTCTTATATATAGTTTTATTTTAGAAATGGGCAGTAATAATTTCATTAGGTAAATTCTCTTTTTATATTCAGGAATTCTGCTGGTGGGGGAAAAAAAATGGGTCTTGGGTTTTCCTGCGTATTTCAGATTCATCAGATTAATTCATTCATTAACTGCTGCTTTAAAGGAACCGATTGGTCCTTCTGTCCCACCAGGTTCTGTTAATCATCCACCGAATTCAGTGAATCATGCTGAGAACTGATCGGAGAAACTCTGCTCTAAGTAAACAATCCAGGAAGTCTATGAAAGTCTCTTTATTGTCCCACATTGGGGAAATTAACTCTCTGCATTTGACCCGTCCCCTTTGGGAGCAGTGGGCTGCCATTCTGTGGGGCCAGGGGTTTTGCTTAGGGACCCAGAGTGCAGGCTGGAGGGGGATCAAACCGGGTACCTGTAACCTTCTCAGAGCCATCAGTATGTTGGAGTCGCAGGATCGATTGTTCTGCAAGCAGAACCTGAAAGCGAATGTTTAGGATCGGGTCTAAATTTTAACCCACTTTTCAACATTGAACTGTAAAATGTAACTGATTTTATTTGCCTTTTCCCAAGATTTTTGCTTTCTCTCAGTATTGAGGCCTCTGCTGGGTAACATCTTGCTACGACCCATTTCACTGCTGAGAAATTCTGCCTCTCCTGCAGATGTTGCTGCAGGAACAAGTCTGCTTTCAGACGCCGACAGCTCAGAAACAGAACTGAGGCTCTTTCATGTCCTTTAAACCTTGAATCTCCTGCCGTCCCCCTCAGGTATGAGTACACAGAGAATATATCTCTGGACCACTTTTAATAATGAGACTCTAAATCGTGAGCTGATTCTGGGGTTAAAATCCACCCAGTCATTTAGTTTGGTTCTGTTCTGACAAAAGGAAGCTTTTATCATCAGAAGAGAAGATGATGGGAAAAAATACTTAGCAGGACTTTTTCTGACTAATTTTATATTTTAGTCTGGTTTTACCTCCTAGATAAAAACAAAGTTATGCATCCTTATGAAGTGGGGGGGAAATTATACACAGTTTAATAATTAACAGATTAAACACTTTTTTAGATTATTAGAGCTGAATAACCATATGTCTTATAGACTTTAACTGTGGGCAGAGAGCAGAAAGCTACTTCATCTGTTAGCGAGGGTTGAACATGTGGGGATAATTGAAAACATGGTTATAAAAAAAAAAAAAAACATCCTACAATAAACAGATCATTTTTGACTGAACCAGATCTGTGGTGTGAAGAAGACTGCAGGCCCAGTCTACTGCAGACAGGTTTTCTTTGAGGATCACCCTGATTTTCCTTCCTTCTGTCACTTCATCGCTTCTGACCAGCTCCTCTCACTATGCTGAGGAACCGCCCCGCCCAGCTGCTAACGCAATATCCCCATGGAGACGCTGTTTTCCACTGACAGGACCTCTTCTAAAGAGCAGAGGATCTCTGCAGCTTCACATTTAGCATTAACCTCTGTGTCTTAATGAAGCAGTTCATCAATGGCCATTAAAGATTAGAATAAATCACAACCAGACGGACTCTAATTAGTGACATCTGATGGTAATTACTGCCACTGGTTGACTTAAAAGTATATTTGTAAAAGGAGCAGAAATACAAGAAGGAAGGAGCTTACAGACAATTTGTAGGAAATACAATTATATCTCTATGCTTTTTGAGTTAATTTGCTCATAAACTGCAAAAAAAAAAAAAAAAAAGCTGTTGCAATGTTTTAATCTCTTTTTATTTTATAAAATCTGGAAGTTGGCCACATAGTTTGTCTGCTGCTATTAACTGGTACATATCATCCTCTCCCCGTCCAGTCGGCTTCACCGGTCCCCTGTGGTGGTTGTTCCAGTAGACGCTCCTCTCATCTTCACAGGCAGCCTTCCAGCAAACCCCCGCATGTAAGGAACAACAGAGTTGCTGCAACCCGCCTCATCCATATTAATAGACATGGGCAACCTAAAGAGAAGCATGAAGTGGAGCAGGCCAAGGCTGTGTGTATGTGAGGCTGCTGCTGCCTAATTACACCAGTGTCATCTTGGGGTTACAGATACAAAACACACCAAGTGGACCCAGGAGCTTTGAGCCACAAATCCCACCAGAAAACATGTGTTGTAGCAA